AAGTACAAAATATTCTGCACAAAGGACATTACCTCCAAATCCTCTGCCTCCATAGCCTCCAGATCCTCCGAATCCACCACCGCCAAATCCGCCTCCGTGTCCACCGCCAAATCCGCCTCCGTGTCCGCCGCCAAATCCGCCTCCGTGTCCGCCGCCAAATCCACCGGCGGCGGCCAAGGCGACCACGAGGGACAGGACCACGACGGTGAAGAGAACTCGAGTCTAATGGAAGCAGAGAATGCATTATCATTATTTTCTCGTAATTCTTGACCCTTGGTATGTAGAGAGACCAACTTCTCATGCATGAACGTAGGCCTTAAGCTATTCCATGTGTATTCTTTTTCTTCTTTCGAATCGGGTCTTTCAATTGATTTACAGAGCGCGAGTGCAGAACTTGTTAGACATACCATGTTAGTGATGGGTGCGCTGCGAGACGACTGACGCCGTGGCTGCAGCGCGGGGCTTTTATACTCCCGCCGGCCAGGAAGGCTGGCAGGAGGAGCGGGAATGAGGCCGCGACCTTCGAGTTTCTCTGGAGTCTGCGTGAGGAAGCGAGGTCAAGGCGCGACTTGGTGTTGGCTGGATGACCTAACACGAAATTCATCGCCAACACATTCATCCTTATAATGACTTTCACCAACTGAAATCCGAAGAAAGTTTTGCATGAGCATTAATATGGAGGATAAATTGTTATGCAGTCGGCCATTTCAGGAAAAAACACAAGGGCTGTATGGATATTACACGGGATAGGGATGTATGGGTGTAGCTATAGTATAGACAGACGGGGAATCATTCGAAATTTGGTGCTGCAAAAGGATTCAAATATTAATTTTCCATGTAGCGACTTGGTGTTGGCTGGATGACCTAACACAAAATTTGACGCCATTACAGTATTTTCATTATTCACCATTGCATTGACTTTTCCCATTTGAAATATGAAGAAAATTTGTATCAGCGTTGTATATAGGAAAGGAATTATTATGCAGTATAGATATAGTGTAGGATAGGGCTATATACATAAAACGTATATATTGGGAAACAACATCGCCTTGTGTATGATTTGTTGTCTTCCATATCTGACTTGTCTTCTCCCGTTTTCTTATTCAAATCCGCTTAATGGTTCTCACTCTCTCGGCCACTCTTCCATCCTCTCGCGTTCCTCTGCCTCCCATCTCCATCGCCCTCGTCTCCTTATTCCCAAAGCCCTTACGCTCGCTCTCTGTGCACGAACGTCTGTTTCATGTTCATCTGCCGCTCAGATAACCCTCTGGTGCTTTTGTTATCCGGAAGATAAGAAGTGCATCCGTATCTTGGACGTTTGGGCTAAATTTTATTCATATATATACATACACACAAAAAATGTCAGTAAGTTGTGTGATTGATATGTATATAGTACATATACAGAGGACACACATATTCTCATGTTTATTTGTCCGTTAATTCATCTGGATATATCCAAATCTAGTATCAAATTAAGAATATATACTCTATTGCATTATATTGCACACGATGCACACACATACTCAGACACATAACATTATACCACACAGATAAGTTAAACGCTTCAAAATCTCACATACAGATATACATTCTCATAATTAAAAGCATTACTTCGCTTTGGAAGGTTTGTTTTAGACATTTTTTTTTTTTGCCAGCAAATTCAAAGAAGTGCCTACATGTTTGGAGAACTTTGCATGCATCAAGTTCGCTGTAGATAACTTCACTGACCTACATGTTTTGTGAACCATTCTAAATCAACAGTTTTAGAGAGTTGTCTGTGATTACATAGTATTGCGGAGCCATTTTCCGATACCAGTCATTGCATCGTATGTTTAGAGTGTCACATGTCCGTTTTGTCTTCAGTGAGACAAAGCCTGTATTCTGGTATTCAGAATGTGCTAATTTCCTTTACATTGCTATTTCACTTTTGGACGATCTACATTCTTCCTTGAAATGGTCATGACAATCAATAATGACAGTTGTGTCCTCATCAATATGATCTAGATATGTTTCATAGTATTCTTTAGCCTGACATATCTACATATCAAACTGACGTCCACCGTGGCACAATACCTGATGATATATTAATGTGAAACTGGCACAGAAACTATTCATGTATATGTGCATTATAGTGTAGGAGGAAAATCAGGAATACGTTGAATTTACACTTTAATATAAAAAATAGGAATACACTTTTCAATATACATTCCTCCTGGAGGTGAAAGGTCGTCGAAGCGCTTACTTTCCATATCGTCCTGAAAATAAAGAAATAATTATTAAGATATCCAAGTTGAGGAGTAACGTGTTCTCGGTAATATCACTGCAATAGGCAGCTTGATTTGAACTTGATATTTTACCTCCAAATCCACCTCCGAATCCTCCGTGACCGCCTCCGAATCCTCCGTGACCGCCTCCGAATCCTCCGTGACCGCCTCCGAATCCTCCTCCGAAGCCTCCATGTCCACCTGTTATTGCATGGAATATGAGAGTGAAGATCCGTCAGAGATTTCATCATTTCATGATTTTTTAATAGGCGTTAATTGATGTTCATTATGTTCGTAGTACAAATATTCTAAATAAAGGACATTACCTCCAAATCCTCTGCCTCCATAGCCTCCAGATCCTCCGAATCCACCACCGCCAAATCCGCCTCCGTGTCCACCGCCAAATCCGCCTCCGTGTCCCCGCCAAATCCACCGGCGGCGGCCAAGGCGACCACGAGGGACAGGACCACGACGGTGAAGAGAACTCGAGTCTAATGGAAGCAGAGAATGCATTATCATTATTTTCTCGTAATTCTTTCCCCTTGGTATGTAGAGAGACCAACTTCTCATGCATGAACGTAGGCCTTAAGCTATTCCATGTGTATTCTTTTTCTTCTTTCGAATCGGGTCTTTCAATTGATTTACAGAGCGCGAGTGCAGAACTTGTTAGACATACCATGTTAGTGATGGGTGCGCTGCGAGACGACTGACGCCGTGGCTGCAGCGCGGGGCTTTTATACTCCCGCCGGCCAGGAAGGCTGGCAGGAGGAGCGGGAATGAGGCCGCGACCTTCGAGTTTCTCTGGAGTCTGCGTGAGGAAGCGAGGTCAAGGCGCGACTTACCGTATTTTCATTATTCACCATAGCAGTGACTTTTCCCATAAAACAGTATCAGCAGTGATTTGTTAAAATAAAATGAAATGCAGTACAGATATAATATTCGATAAAACAACAGGTTGATCAAGCGAGATTTTGTTCTACAAAATAATTAACTTAGTCAAATATCAATTTTCCATGTAGCTTTCATATGTCCACTAAAATTGGTTACTACAATAAAGTTTTATGCAGTAAAACTTTATCGCCAGAGGAATATATATAGGCGTAGGAAGGTATTTTGAAGGGGGGGGGGGGGGGGGGAGCAAAACAAATCCCCCCAAAATAGCTGGGGTTCCTGGTGGCTTTAGCCCCTTGTGGGGTCCAGGGTTACCGGCCTGGTGGGAGACCGGGGTCAAAGCCCTCGGAAGCTCCTGGATTTTTAGCAGTTTTTTGAAAAGGTAAGTTGAATAATTTCTGCACTAAAATGTCAGTCATTTTTATTTAGATAGTACTAGACGTAATGTTATTTCACTTTGAACGCAAGACTCAGTTGCAGCTGCCCTTTCAGGTGCAGGGGCCCAGTGTTCTCAGCAACAGGGTAAGGAATTGCACTGTTTGTTTACAGGGAAGTGTCCTCGAAAGCTGAGAAGGGGGGTTGGGGAAGAAGTTGGGTCCCGCCCCCTTCATTTTAGAATGCTGGGCAGTCGCCCCCCCCCCCCCATCCTTTTTCCTACGCCTGAAATATTGGAAAACAACATCGCCTTGTGTAGGATTCGTTGTCTTCCATATCTGACTTGTCTTCTCCCTTTTCTTATTCAAATCCGCTTAATGGTTCTCACTCTCTCGGCCACTCTTCCATCCTCTCGCGTTCCTCTGCCTCCCATCTCCATCGCCCTCGTCTCCTTATTCCCAAAGCCCTTACGCTCGCTCTCTGTGCACGAACGTCTGTTTCATGTTAATCTGCCGCTCAGATAACCCTCTGGTGCTTTTGTTATCCGGAAGATAAGAAGTGCGTCCGTATCTTGGGCGTTTGGGCTAAATTTTATTCAATTAAACATACAATTGAGCACGTTATATATATATATATATATTATATATATATATATATATATATATATATATATATATATATATATATATATATATATATATATATACACATACACAACACTACACACTACACACACACACACACACACACACACACACACACCACACACACATACATACATATATATATATATATATATATATATATATATATATATTAATATATATATATATATATATATATATATATATATATTTATATATATATGTATATATATATGTATGTATATATATATATATATATATATATATATATATATATATATATATATATATATATATATATGTGTGTGTGTGTGTGTGTGTGTGTGTGTGTGTGTGTGTGTGTGTGTGTGTGTGTGTGTGTGAATATATAAATATAGGTACATACTCCCTTTCTCCGTCTGTCTGTTTCTCTCTGTCACACACACACACACACCACAGATGCGTGTGTATATGTATATATACATATATGTATATATTATATATATATATATATATATATATATATATATATATATATATACATATATATGTACATATATTTTTATATATATTCATATATACATGTGTGTTTATTATCTATATATATGTATAGATATGTATATATATGTATTTATGTATATGTATGTATATATGCATATATGTATATATGCATATATGTATATAATATATATATGTATATATATGCATATATGCATATATACATATACACACACACACACACCACACACACACACACACACACACAACACACACACACATATATTATATATATATATATATATATATATATATATATATATATATATATATATATATATATATATATATATACATATATATACACACATACGTATATGCATTTAGAGGTCGATCTGTGACTTCATAGTATTGCTGAGCCATTTTCCGATACCAGTCATTGCATCGTATGTTTAGAGTGTCACATGTCCGTTTTGTCTTCAGTGAGACAAAGGCTGTATTCTGGTATTCAGAATGTGGTAATTTCCTTTACATTGCTATTTCACTTTTTTTCATGTGAACGATCTACATTCTTCCTTGAAATGGTCATGACAATCAATAATGACAGTTGTGTCTCATCAATATGATCTAGATATGTTTCCTAGTATTCTTTAGCCTGACATATCTACATATCAAACTGACGTCCGAGGCACAATACCTTATGATATATTATGTGAAACTGGCACAGAAACTATTCATGTATATGTGCATTATAGTGTAGGAGGAAAATCAGGAATACGTTGAATTTACACTTTAATATAAAAAATAGGAATACACTTTTCAATATACATTCCTCCTGGAGGTGAAAGATCGTCGAAGCGCTTACTTTCCATATCGTCCTGAAAATAAAGAAATAATTATTAAGATATCCAAGTTGAGGAGTAACGTGTTCTCGGTAATATCACTGCAATAGGTAGTTTGATTTGAACTTGATATTTTACCTCCAAATCCACCTCCGAATCCTCCGTGACCGCTCCGAATCCTCCGTGACCGAATCCTCCGTGACCGCCTCCGAATCCTCCGTGACCGCCTCCGAATCCTCCGTGACCGCCTCCGAATCCTCCTCCGAAACCTCCATGTCCACCTGTTATTGCATGGAATATGAGAGTGAAGATCCGTCAGAGATTTCATCATTTCATGATTTTTTAATAGGCGTTAAT